CTCATCACGGACAACACGACTCTAACAATATGTAGGAGAAATCACAGGCAAAGTATAAAGTATAATTACGAAGTGTAATATATCATAGTAATATCACAACTGTTAATGGTTATGAAAACGTTGTTATGTATTTTTTTATGCTTCCAAGTGACGGGACGGACAAGTCGTGCGCCTGGTGTTAAGTGACATGCCACAAAAATCTGAGAGACACTCATTATCTGTCAGATAAATTGACAAATCCTATGTGTCTGCAATTTCACCAGATCAGTCAATAAACCATTATCCACATTCTATAAGTATGTCTTTGTTTATTTATTATAAAAGAATGTACTTGTTGAAATATTTACTGCTTATCTATACTATCTTTATATGTATTCCGTGGCGAAGGATGGGTTTATCTAAATAAGCCGACATAGGTGTGGACGAGTCGAATTCACAATATCGAAAATCATAACATCCATGGTCAAGTCGTGCGCCTGGTGGTAAGCCACATGCCTATCCATAACAGGTGGCAGTGTCACTCAGAGCTAAGATCTGAGAGGTACTGCGCCCGTCACCCTGAGTGATAAATTGACAAAACCTATGTGCCTGTACTTTCACCAGCAGCACCCTAACCCTTCACAACCGGAAAGCAGTATTGCTCACATTACTGCTTCCCGGGTATTGTATTTCCCTGGACGAATTCTTTCGCAAGAAGCTCTACTGATGCTAAAATCTACGATGTGTATGGTACAGTATACGAGCAAGGAAAGTGGCTACGGGCCGCGTGACACGGTTGTACAAAAGGTTGCAAGCAAATGCATTTTGCGTTTTGCGTTGAAACAAGGATTGTATTTTTTTTATTCGATTATTATTATAGGAAATGAAACTATTTTTCCGGATTTAAATCGCGTATATTTGTTTTTTCAAACAAACCGACGTTTCTGGCCCTTTACAGGTCCCATGGTCACGGTTTACTGAGGTGGTACAGTCTTCAACCAGTTATGTCTAATATTAATGCAAACCACCCAATTTTTTCACTATAGTTACAATAGTTATTAATTAAATACCTTATTTTTAATTTTACAAAGAAAACATTCCAATTTACATTACGCTACATTAAGTTTTACAAATTATTTTATTGAATGAATTTTTAATTTATTATTACTAAGAACTCGATTATTATTAATTTTATTTTCTTTGTTAATAGCATATATATACATTATTTATTAATCTTTCAAAATAATAATATAGTATTACAATAGTGTTTATTTAAGATTTAAGAATTATCTATTTGCATAAATTGTATTGTTTCTTGTAAGGTTTTTGAAGATTTTATTTGTTAAATGTTGCCCTCTCTGTGTGCTTTTGCTCTGCCCAATAGGGTCCCAAAGCTCTAAGCTCACCTGCTACATTGTAAACTTTTAATGGGAATGCAATAAAGTATTGATTATTAATGACCGATTCGGCATAGTTATAGTCATATAACACGATTCTTATCGAATATTCATCTTTCGACAATGTTGTCTATAGATAAAAACCTTTGTTTACGAAAGTGCTATTGTTATCAAAGTTTTGACGAATACTTAGATACACAGCTAATGCATACACGATTTGTCATATAAATTCAAAGACATTTAAGGGTGACGCCAGACGAGCTTAATTCTGTCAGTTGTGAGTTGCGTAGTTTACGTTCGGCTGAAATTCGGTTGGGGGGCCAGACGAACGTATTTTATTCAGTTGCATTCAATACCAAAGTGACCACTTCGCTCACCCCTTCCTCCACCCGCACACGGTGCGTAATTACGCCCGTAAGTCGAGAGACGGACATTTTGTGTCGTCGTGTGGCACAAACCGTACTTTTATACTGAGGGGTATAGAAACAAAGTCGACTCTGTCCTCGAGGATCCAAGTCGAGAAAACGAGATCTTTTCGTTTCAACGTCTTGCCATCTACGAGTATTACTCACAAAAATTTACTGGTTGGATGGTATTACAATTTGCAATATTAAGTAAAAGCGAACCAAAAACAAATGGTATTACCCTAATAAAAAATAAAATACGATGGACATTAACGCATCTTAACAGGTGGAATATGGCAATTTTGCATCTAACAATTCCGCCATTTTCGTAAGTTTGACAGTAGGGTAAAGGACCTAAATTTGTATCAGCCGAAGCGAAAACCTTAACGAAACAAGTTTATCGAACCATGCTTGTTTATGTACCAAATGAAATCTAATGCAACTTAGATTACGCAACTCAAATAACGCGACTCACTATTCACAAAATTACGCTTGTCTGGCCTCACCCTTACTGTTGGGCATGACTAGCTAGTTAGTGTAAAACTTCAACGAAAAAACTTTAGACCATACCAGTAGGGCTAACACGACAGCGACAGCCTTATGCGCCAGGGCGGGAAAATAGTAGTACCTCGCGCTTTATGTCGCTCTCGTGCAGGTCGCGCCCTGTCGTGCCCTGTCGTGCTTGCCCTACAGAGTGGCTCACTAGAGGACTTCACAAATTACCCAATACTTTTACTGGAATACCAACATTCCAATCACGTAAGATAATAAACAGCCTGGTGGACAAGGATATTGTGTCCACTGTTGGGTCATTTCCGAAAAATTTCAAGTAGTGGAAAATTTCCCGGATTTTGTTTTTCGAAAAATTGAAAAAATATAATTCAAAGGCTCATGTTATGTTCTACGTTTAGATATATCTTTTGCAGTTTTGTTTAGCGTTAATTATAAAATAAAGTTGTATAGCTAAAGGCAAGTTAGAGTAAAATGAGATTTAAAATGATTGGCCAAGAACGAAAAAATAACGCAGTTAAAAAAAAGCTTTATACTGATTCCATCGTTTTCGATCAATATCTTCAAATTTTGACAGGTGTCAACTGCCAAATGTGGAAAAAATAGGAAAATAGTCGGAAAAATAAAATGAAAATTTTCTTATGGCCCTATGGAGTCATAAAATTGTGTCTGTATTATTGTGTCTTTCAGAGTCAGTGCTGTTACTTAACCACTGTTTCTACTAATCATCTATCAAACTTTTGACAATGCCACCTAATCCACCGTTTCTTTTTACTAATGACTTGTCAAACTCTTGACAATAACGCCACCTAAACCACTGTTTACACGAATTGCCTATCAAACTTTTGACAAACCTTTACCAGGCAAGACTTGAGTAGCAATGCCGTCAGTCTCTTTCTTCAAACGCTAAAAGCCTCTGAACTACGGAATCTGCACTGAAATCTAATTATTGACATTATTTCCACTACAAATGCACCTCCACCTCTACGTTTAACATTTGTCATAGGTCATGCGACATTGGTATTACAATAAAAATACACAAACTCTTTGATAAAGTGTGCGTGTTAAAAGTATGTACTTTGGCATAATGCCATCCGTCGGATGCCATTCCCTGAATTGATGTCTAGCTTTTATTATTTATTATCGGTAAACCCACATGTTTGACACGCGCAGTGGGAGGTAGGTTGTTCGAAAATAGATCATAGTGTTCTAAAAATAAATCCTATAAGGACTGTTTTAGATTTCTTTAATATATAGCTTTTAGGCAGTGTGAATAAACTTGTGAATTTATTTATGGTTTATGCGATAAGTGATTATCGGTTTCGGTTTTGAAGGGTAAGGTAAACTACAGGCATGGGCATGGGACTTTCAACTTAGGTCTCAGGGTGACGGACTCAGTGGCATTGTCCCCTCAGATCTTTGCGATTTAAAGGCTAAACGGTCACTGCTCAGGTCAGGCGTGTCGCTTATCACCAGACGCACGATAAGTTCGTCCCGTTATTTGATATCATAAAAAAGTAGCAAAATGACCTTCAAAGAAAAAAAAAATTTGTTTGGAGTGAAATAAATAGTGATTATAGGTGTTACATTTGCATACAACATTAGTATGTTAAAAACAGAACACGGAAGACATCACTACCTATTTCCTATTTCTACTTACGTGAATCATAGGGCAGTGATTCACGTACATACGATGGATTAGATACAGAATCTCGGAATCTGCGTGTAAATTTTTAATCATTCAAACTTAACTACCGCGTTTGCGTTAACGTTTTTATTTAGATCTTAATTATATGTTTGATAAGGTTTAAATTAAAATATTAACTCAAACGCGATAGTTAAAGATGTTTACATATATTTAATATATAGCCTACATTTATTTCTCTCGTGAGTGACACCCGCGATACAGGGTCTCGCCAGTGCGGGTCTGTGAGTGTGTGCGTTATTATTAGTTGAAAACTATATTGACTTGGAGTACGATCTTTTATTGTTTTAAATAAAATCTGGATTGTGTTCTATTTTATTAATTCATTTTAAATCGAGACTTATGCATTCCTATATTTCAGGCCTTTAAAGTCTTAAAAATGTCTATAAAAGTAATGTAATGTTATCTAATACTTTGAAATAAAGTTGTTTTAACACGAAACAGTGCGGGCGCTCCGCAGTGACGTTATTTTAGCACAAAAGTAACTCAACAAATTCAAAGAATATTCATTGATTAATAATGAATAACGATAACAAACTATTATCATACTACGATTCTCTGATTGTTCATATTGCCTAGATATTGTCCTGTAGATAAGAAAATACGTTGTATATATAATGAATACACGATGACTGTGTAGGCATAATTAAATACAGAACGTATTTTATTGATTATCAAGTTTACCGCAGTAATCGATCAAAGAAAATTCGGGAATATAATATTACAGAAAATGACCAAAGATTAAGTTGGCGTGTTGTTCATTGGAGGTATAGGCTTCTCCTTTTTACACAAAAAAACCTAAAACCACGTCGGCGATGGCGGGATAACTTGGATTGGACTCCTTTTTAAAGGACTGGTCAGATGTTGCCCAAGATCGAGAACAATGAGAAGAGGGGAGAGGCCTTTGCCCATCAGTGAGACAAAACGGGCTTGTAATGTTCTGTATCGACCCCCTAGACTGATATGTAGGTACGCTAGCTCATCATTTTAAATTTTCGTTTTCAGAGCCAGTTTACTGGAACACGTCGTGTATCGCATGGGCTTGCTCGCTGTTATCCGCTCGCGGGCGCTGAATGGTAACTAGGATACGTTTATTTTGATGTCATGTTAGGTTTTAAGAAACCGACAAACTAAGGGTGCCTTTAAATTAGACGCTTGTGACGCGGCAGCCGCGCGTCTGCAAAAGTGACGCATGCGTTTCAGCGCAGGTTTCATCACGGGTGTTTACTTCACAGAAAAGCTCATGGTAAATTTCAATATCAATTTCGTAAACATAAATTCCGATAAAATCAGAAGTGCGAGTCAGGATTCGAACCCACGGCCTCTGCGTAACAGGTGGTAGTGACACCATTAGGTTATCACATCCGCAAGTGTATTATTATAAAAGATTTTTTTTTAAATGCTTAACGAGCAACAATGTGCCTGCATTAATCTTAAAAGCTTGGAATAAGGTTAGAATTAATTTCATTTATTCAAATTTTGTCTTTTAATGTGCCCTTGCGGGGTTCGTAATAATCTTAATTTAAGTTATTTTAATTCATTTGTTACTGTAATTTGTTTATTTGAAGAAAAAGTTTTACGATCACTGCTTCTTTGTTTACGTTTTGTTTAAGAATCAATTGTAGAACGTTTAAGAGTCCTAAAATTGAATCTGTGTTATCAGGCCGCACGATCGGGATGATGATTACGGCTTCGCACAATCTGGAGCCCGACAACGGCGTAAAGCTGATCGATCCTGACGGGGAAATGCTGGAGCAGAGCTGGGAGGAGATCGCCACCAGACTCGCCAATGTGAGGTAGGTTTAAAGACGCTTTAGGGTCGCCTCATATTGGTACAGACAAGACGCGGCGCTGCCCTGCACCAAAACGAGCGTTGCAACGAACGTTATCTAATAATGATACTTACTGACGGACTCTTTGTCTCTCATAATCAAAATTCGGTCGAGGTAGTCACCATTCGAAGGAAAATTTCGTACCACGATGCAGAAATTTCGACAAAATGTGTCAATAGGACATGAAACTATGTTACCGGGTTTAAATCGCGTATATTTGTTTTTTCAAACAAACCGTCACGGTTGACTACAGTCAAAAAAGTCAAAAAGTCAGTTTGAAAAAACAAATACACGCGATTTAAATCCGGAAAAATAGTTTCATTTCCTATGTGTAACAATCGCAAAAACCTAAGAACTCAAAATGTGTCAATGCCATCTAGCGAGTTTTTAGTGAACTATAAAATAAAGCACTTTGTTTTACTTACGCTCGACTGCCACGGTTTCGGGTTCAATTCCCGGACAATACTTCTATGGCCTGCATTTATTTCTCTCGTGAGTTTGGGTGTAATTTATGGCACTATGGCCATGGCACCCGCGCCACGCGGTTTCTCTAGTACGGGACTAGGAGTGTGTGCGTTATAGTGTATTATTATTATTGGGTTTTTGTATTTAACCAGCAAGCAGATGTGCAAATATTAATGGACATTAATGTTTGGATTTTAGAGCTATTTGCGTTACAAATTAATAAAAGGTAGTATTTTAAAAATTCAAAGTATTCTCTATTACATATAGAAGCAGTGTGATAAGCCATTTTTAACCGACTTCAAACATAAAAAAAATCATATATAATAAATAAATCAATTATTGCAGACACCGTTCATAAGATTACTTGCTTGTGTTATTTACAAGTAATTGTTAATTTTGCCGAAAAAAAATATTAACAAATTATTTAAGTAACAAGAAAATTCCCAAAACAAGTACCTATGGGTGTAGTAAAAACTTGTTTGACTCTAAAACTATCTGTCAAAAAGAGAATGCTATCTTGGCTCGACTATCATTTGCCTTAGATTGACTTCACCACGTGTTTTAGAATATTGAGGATGAGTGTTGAGACATATACAGGTATCCCTAATGTGCACGCACGCCAAAGACAATATGTTTAAATAATCTTTGTCACTTCCTTTCATTTTAATTATCCATGAAAGAATATGTCATTGTCAACCACGTAACCAATCAAGTAGTATGTTGGTCGCATCTGAAGGGCTAGCAGAATAGGACGCGAGTTGCGCGAGATACTGCTATAGTCCATCTGTTTAGGTACTTAAATAAATGTAAACAATCTTGAGATGTCTATTTAATGAAATATACATTTATAAAATGATTTTCCCTTACCTTCAAATACAAAATACAAATACTTCATATGAAATTGCATGCCTATTTTTATACCTATTGATTTGTAAAGCATGTGTTTCAATAAAAAGATGTATCAAGATTGTTTACATTTAGTTAAGTACCTAAACAAATGGACTATGGTCTCGCATAGCGATCCCGCGCTTTATGTCGCACTCACGCAAGTTGCTCCCTATCGCGCTAACCCTACTGATTGTCCAATTTCTCGACACAATGGCGGGCTTTACACACACTCTATCGCGCGTGATCCAGCAATCGTGCGCGATTGAGCTCGCGTGTTCGCCCACTCCAACACGCGCCATTTCACGCGGTCTAGCCTTTACACGGACGCTCTTTCCGTTGAGATAAAAACGAAGACGTTCACGCGCGAAAGAAAGTTAGCTCATTTTTATTCCTTCGCTGAAAAACCTTGATATAATCAACCGCTGGACTCAGAGTTTTCGTAGTGTACTCTAATGACAAGATTACGAGTCATTTGGTTGGCATTAACCTGTTAACTAATGTGTTACGTAAATCTCTTTATAAATTTAAAACTAAACGCGAGACAACTGTACAGTTAATGTAACTTATGTAATATTAATTAAGGCGAAATGGTATCGTGGTTTGCCTTTGAATGACATCACCACGTGTGTTAAAATATTGAAGATGAGTGTTGACAATAGCCAGGGCATTATATTCAAATTTTGAACTGCGCAAATAATCTATGTCAATCTATCTGCAATCCCACTCAGGTTCCTTACTTATATGCAAATATGCATTCTAATGCAAATTAATTATATCACCGAGCTAACTATGTCTCACTTTGTAACATAATGAACACAACATTTCGATTGTAAGCAAAAGTTTTATGATAATATTCCTTAAAATGACATTTATGATTTTATTTAAATAAATAAAATAAATGTGATTGTAACTTATTTATAAAAAAACCCCAAAAGTTGGGGTAATTACATGTACTCGTATTTATCAAATTTTATTGTAATCGGTTACCGGAAAGTGCGCGAAACCGGATTCGTCTCTAAGGGTCGTATTCTAGAACTCTACTCAATGCTCAAGTCAGGATTGCAATTGAAACACAAGCACTGGAAATACGACTCTAATGGCAGGGACTTGAGTATGATTTCGAGTGCTTTGAATCATACTCAAGTCCTGACTTGAGCATTGAGTAGAGTTCTAGAATACGACCCTAAGGGGTGGAATATTTTCTTGAAATTTAAGTCTGACCAATACTGAGGTACCCTCTTTTCAACAAAAAAAGAATCATTGATATCGGTTCACAATTGCAATCGGCAAAGTTTTCTACATTGACCCGGCTGGGGATCGAACCCGGGACCTCAAAAATGGCGACACAAGCAAGTGCAAGCCATTCGACAAAGGAGGACGTCAAAATATGAATGTCGCAAGTTTAAGAACGTAAAAATTAATGATGACTATGTATGATGCGAATATTTGTATCAACACATAATACAACAGTCATTGTGTTGAATATTTATAATATCGGCTTTATTTAGAATTTTTGAAACGTTTGTCCACAGCGACAACGATTTAGAAACGACTACGGGCGAGATCATCAAGCAGGTCAACGCCGATATGTCCCTTAAAGCTCAAGTTTGCATTGGAATGGACACCAGGTGAGTTTTATATCGTATGACTAACTCAGTCAATGATTTTATGACCTTGTGGCACCAGAATCCGATGATAAATGGGGAATTTGAAAATTGCTGTTACCAAAACCCTTAGGAAATTCATATTATGTAGTATGCAGCATAGGTACGAGCAAATCCATTTTACTCCACTCCTGTATTTAAATTCATTGTAAATAAGGTTGGCACGATTACATCGTTTTGATTTCAATTATAATTTAAATCGTGATTTAAATCAAATTATTTTTTTCAATAAAAAACAATGATTTAATCAAATGTATTTCATTTTATTTTGTTTCACAGAAATCAACATAAAATCAGACAATTACATTTTAAAGAGCTTTTGCATCTACAGAAAACAACATCATTATTATAATACTTAAACAAAAAAACTATCTTGCCGCGGTTAATTAACATTACTACGTTTTACGCAAAAATATAGCTAAACTAAATGATAAAATAAAAAAAATCGTGATTAATTATGATTTTTTCAAAAAATCGTGCGTTAGTCCATTTTTCTTTTAAAAATCATGATTTTTTCCAACCCTGATTATAAAGCCTGAGGCACCTGTAAAGGTACCGGCGGCGGCGAGGTTCTAAAATCTCTCACTAGATGTCAATAGCGGCGCCGATAACCAGTACAAAGATCTATAATAAAAACACATAGGATAATGTCGACAACTCGATAACTTTATCTGTAGCTCAGTTGGTTAGAGCAGCGCTACGGTACAGCGTGGTCATGGTCATTCAAAAGGAATAAAATCAAAGGCTTGGTTTAGCACGTGCCATACGATTACGGTACCTACACAACTAGTGTGATATTATTAAGTTTGCAAAATAATAGATTACATTACTTTATACAAAAATACATTTCTTTAACGTAACAAATTGCAATTATTCTAAATATTTACAATGTTGTGAAAAACTAAACGCACGTGCGTAGCACCTGCACCCATTAGAATGTATAGTACAGACGGCAGCACACACGCTACACATACAGGTCTTTTTCCATTGCACTGAAGACGATATAAGAACAGAAGTGTATAGCTTGTTGTGTTGTTGACTATACTACCCTACTTATTTCTGCCAAGCAGTAATGTCACCATTACTGTGTTCCGGTTTTGAAGGGGTGCTGGTGAAATTACAGGCACATAGGAGTTGTCAATCTTATGTCTTACTTAGATACACGAGTCCGCGTCTAGCAGCGGCGGCGGTCCACGGCGTAATGGCGTTGAAAGGAACAGCCCGCGAGTTCGGCATAGTCACTACACCGATGCTGCACTACTGCGTCAAATGCCGCAACGACAACAGTTACGGCATACCCACTGAAGAAGGTAACTGCATCTCTTTCACTCCTATACAAAATTACTAACATATACCTAAATTACATTACTCCTTCTCTCTCATACGCATACACGCATCGGAGGCACGTACGCATGAAATGAAATGAAATATTTATTCGCAAGCAAACACGGTAAGAAAAGATATTATTATACAAGGTGTCAAGAACATGTGTTGCACCAGATACTGGCACGCAAATATTAAAATAAATTGAAGTTAAATAATGTCATAAATTAAAATTATACAATTTGTCAAATAAGCAATGTCGTATAAAATTAAGTAAAATGCCAATAAATAGCAACAGCAACAACATCGTAAATTAAACAATATCAAAGAAGTAAGAACAGCACAAATATAAACAAATGTGTCAAATACAAACAAAATGTCAATTTCTTTTTATTATTAAAAAATCTTTGATATCGTATAAACACAGATCACATAGCAAATCAAATAACTTTTTTTAAAATATTTTGATAGGTAAATCTGCGATAGCTGCAGGCAAAGCATTATATATTTGTATGGACATGTTATAGCAATTCCTATAAAAGCAAGTAGTCTTGTGGGAGGGGCTAGCTATACGGTTTGGATATCTATGTACGTACATGCCTACACACCATCGAGTATATAACCAGAAATAGAGACGAGATAATGTCCATATATTCCTGGTAGCTCATCGGTGATATATCACATAAAAATATCAACTCTCGTTTGCACTGAAATATAGACAGCGCCAACAACGACGCCCGACAATTGTTTCGAATTTTGGCTAGCCAATCGGAGCGCAGTTGTCACAGTAATGATTGGGCAGAATAGTTTTCAAACAAATTAAATGACATTTCGTCTCTATTTCTGGTTACATGCTTAATGCTACACATTCATGTTTATTTTTAATAAACTGTGAAAACGTTATACTTTATAATTTCAGAATACGTAATATGATATTTGAACAACTGCTTTTGCAGAAAATATTTATTATAAAATAATTATATAAGTTACATACGTTCATCAGTAGCGGTAGAGCCCCTTGTCAGAGAGTTTGTCCAGGGAAGTACTGCCTTACCTACTTCTGCCGTCTCAAATTACTGTGTTCCGGTTTTGAGCGGTTAGGGTGCTGGTGAAATTACAAGCACGTTGGACTTGTCAACTTATGTCTCAGTGTGACGGGCGCAATGGCAGTGCCCCTCATATCTTAGCGATTTAACTCCTGAGTAGAACTGCAACTGTTATGGACAAGCGTGTAGCTTACCATCAGACGCACGACTTGTTCGTCCCGTCATTTGATATTATACAGGGTGTCCGGTAAAGAGTGGATAAGCCTGAAATGCCTTATAGTAAAGCTTATGAACGTCAAAAAAAAAAAACAAAGAAAATATATCCCATGTACCTAAGACATCTTTTTTTTCTTTAAATATAATTATTTTCACTTTATTTTAAGTTTTTGTACACCACGATTACAAGTTTATCAATTCCTCCGGTTTTTTTGGTGTCAATATTCTACATTAACTGTGCTAATAGATAGGCAGTAAATAGTATGGCTAACCATGACACTTAAATAAATAAAAAAAACCCTGTATAAAAAATTAAATAAAAAACATTTTATTAAAATGTATAATGAATGTCGCTGTTATTGTCACAAAAGCGAAGTTTAACTCTGTGTAGTTATAATAAGGTATATACTGTTTTATTTATTTAAAAAAAAAACTGTATACAGGTTGATAAAAAAACCACTGACCATTTTCAAGGAGCATACTGCATAATGGAAATAAAAATACATGTTTGGTTTTTTTTTTTTTCAAATACTTAATAAATAAATAAGTTATGACGTCTCAAAAATAAAGTAGGTTTAAGTAAGTAACGTAAGTTTTCCGATAAATTGTGAACAGTATTGACACCCGATGATTAGCAGACGCCGTTGCTTTAGCAACAAGGACGGTGTGGGGCAGTGGGCGGAGTCAGCGCGCGAGTTCATGTATTTGATAGTCGACATAGTATTAAACTAACGCGCGATGCGTTAGCGCAGATCTGTCGTCGCGCGGCGCGACGTACTGGCGCCTAAGCGTCCAGACAACTCAGAAATTATTGGAAACTATAAACATAAAAAATGGGGATTTTTTTTATTTTATTTCACTAATTGTTCTATTACTGAATCTTAGGCACAGGAAAAAAAATGGCCAGTGATTTTTTTATCACCCTGTTTAAAGGTATATCATCATCATCAGCAGCATCATCTCACTTGATGGACAGCATACTATACACAGCATAATATTGAAACTGCCTCCGTGGCCGAACGGTTGCCATGCCGGACTGCCACGTAGAGGTCCCAGGTTCAATTCCCGGACCGAGAGTTTGGGTGTAATTTGTGGTTGTCTATGTGTGTATCCATGGCTACCGCGACATAGGGTTTCCCTAGGCTATGTTGAGTGTGTGCGTTATTATTATTATTATTATTACATACCGTAGATACAGATACTTCTATAACAAACAACATCAACCCATTTTAGTAGCAGTAGAGTTTCTTGTGAAAGAGCTCGTCATGGGATGTACTGTCATGTTACCTATTTCTGTCGTCGAGCAGCAGTGTGAGCATTACTGCGTTCCGGTTTTGAAACTCCTCAAAATATGTCTCAGGATGTCGGGCGCAGTGGCAGTGCCTCCCCTGCCCCTTAGATCTTTGTGATTTAAATCTCTGCGTGGCACTAAACTGTTATGGGTAGGCGTGTTGTTATCTACCAAGCGCGGCGGACTTATTCGTTCTGTTACTTGATACCATAAAATCCAGACACCAGACAAATATTGTGAAATATACTTTAGAGTAAGAAAACTCTGCATTTTAGTCATAAGTTATCATTCATTCAAATATATTGTATGGTTAGTTTGGGTTTTTAAGAGTCGATACTAAATCAATTCGAATTAAAAAATTTCCCGTACTAATTACGGATCATTTTGCTTGGGTCAAACGGCACGGACGCTGGCTTTATTTCAGAATTCATTTGTTTTACAAACGAAATTAAAGCATTTGAAAAATGTATACCGTATTGTATACGTGCTCTATTTAGTTCAGTTGATATTAAAAAAAACATTGATATATGTAAAGTACTTATTGAATACAACGAGTTTCTTCTAAAATTTCGAGGTAAGTTTGTGTTTTTTTTTGTCGTGAAAATTTTTAGGATTCGTGTTTGCACACCTTATAGTAATCAGTGTATATCCTCAATTTTAATATATATTTTTTGCAAAGTGATGGGTTCAACACTTTCACTGTTATGCGGAGTCAATCAAAGCCATTTTAGGTAGTAAAGACCTTTTATAAATACACCAAACGTTGTAACATAGCTAGATAAAGCTCAGAAGTATCAAGAACTTCATTCCTATGTCAAAGTCAAAGTCAAAGATTATTTATTCCATAGGTAAAATAAA